GTGTTTAAAAATTCAATGCACAAGGAAGAAAGTTGCAAAAGTACTGCAGATCCAACTATAAAATAAAAAATATTAACATTAATATTCCAGAATGCTCCTGCAGACAGTGCCTACACAAGTAAATATTATGTATAGAGTTCAATATAAATGGGGTTTTTAATCAAGGAGAAGAAATAGCAAGTGAATGATGCTGGTGCCCTCGTGGCTACAGCATGAGGTATGTCAGCCCTCTGTGCCTCTGCCTTCTGAGTTCCTTACCTGTTCTGCCCGGAATTTGTTCCAGAATGAGAAGTGTCACCTCCTGGTAGAACACGAGACCCAGAAGCTGAAGGCCCTGGATGAGAGCCATAACCAGAGCCTGAAGGAATGGCGGGAGAAGCTTCGGCCACGCAAAAAGGTAACCAGGTCCGGGCTGCTGGGCTCTGCTCCATGTTGTGCCACAGGTGTCTGCATAGGATGTAGATAGATACAGACAAGACATACATTTATAGATTAATTTTAAGGAACTAGCACATACGATTGTGGGGGCTGGTAAGTCTGAAATCTGCAGGGCAGGTCACAGCAAGGAAGAGTTGTTGTTGCAATCTTCAGTCCTAGTCTGGAGGCAGAATTACTTTTTCCTCAGGGGGACCTCAGTCTTTTCCCCAAAAGCCTTCAACCGATGGGATGAGGCCGACCTACATTACGGAGGGGAATCTGCTTTACCCAAAGTCTACTGAGTTAAATGTTAATCACATCTAAACAATTCCTTCACAGTGACAGCTAAACTGGTGTTTGACCAAACAACTGGGCACCATGGCCTTGCCAGGTTGACAAATGAACCATCACAGGGTCTCATTGTGGTGCCTTGTAAAGTGTAGATATGAACGTTGTACAGTGTTATGCAAAGTCACCAGCCCACAGCACAGGCCAAGGGCATACTCGTTTCCTTCCACTCTCCTAAACTCTCTGAGGAGAGCGCTGCCCTAATTACCTTTGGTCACGTGTCCTGAAGCCCGAGGTTTGTTCCGCTGTCATACATCAGCTCTGCTTGCTGTAACTGTGGTCTGGACAGGAGGTAGCTGCCTACCTCAGCTATGCAATGGCCTTGGAAGTCCTTGATTTGAGGCTTCCCTCCCTGTGCTAATGGAGCTTTCAGGCTGGAAGCTGGCCAGAGTCCCAGAACTTTCTGTAGCAGCCCATGCTCATCAGTTTCTGTAAATACAGCCTGCTGGGACTTTTGATATTTGACACTTTAATCAATAATGCTCCTGAAGACATAGGTTGACTCTGGCATCAGGAAAGGTTAACCTGGTTCTTACCTGGGGGTTCTATTGCCTTTGGCACATTCTGAGAGAGTTCGAAAATGAACGACTATGTTTCCTCTAGCAACTGCCTCATATCCCACATTGCATCATGGGGGCACCTGGGCTTAGAGGAGGTACCCCAAGAGTGTGTTTGGGGAGCTGGCACTGGATTTTGTCTGTGGGGGCTGCCTCTTTGCAGAATTCCCTGTAGAACTGCTCTGTCACTCGCTACCTGGGTTGCTGCTGGGACACTGACCCAGAGTTGATTTTCATTCTGGAATATTGCTTTACACGCTTGCATTATAGTCAGCAGCTTTGAGCTGCTGTCCGTATGTGGGGGTAGGGGAGATAACTGTACACTGTTGAGCATTTTTAGAAAAATCTAGACTTCTTTTGGGTAAGTACAGAATATCTGGCAGGGTCAATAAAGTGTTGATTGGGTCATGGTCAACACAGAACCCGGCCTCAGACAAGTCTTCCCTCCCAAGACTTGCTTTTCGGGGCTATAAAATGTGCCTAACATGTAGCCCCTTAAAGCAGGTGTTAGTAAACTACCTACCTCCCATGAACCCAATCTGGCCCACTGCCTGTATTTGTAAATTAAGTTTTATCAGGACAGTGCCAGGCTTGTTCATTTATATATTGTCTGTGGCTGATTTTGCGCTACAGCTGCAGTGGAGTGGTTGTGATAGAGACCGTATAGCCTGCAAAGCCAAAAATATTTACAATCTGGCCTTTTACAAAAAAAGACTGCCGACTCCTGCCTTAGGTTATATACAGGAATATATGTGGCAGGTAGACTAGAGTAGTGCTTAAGATCACAGGTTTGGAGTAAGAGACCTGGGATAAAGTCCTAGCTCTCCCATTACTACCTGTGAGAGCCTGGACAAGTTGCGAAACCTCTCTGTGCTCAATTATAATTAAATTGNAAGGAGAAAAAAGGAAACGATAGAGAGTGGGTGGAAACTGTCAGTAAGTGAGCGGGGCCAACGGGATGACAGGGGTGAGGACAGTACTGAGAGCCCTTTGTGACAGCCATCACATATTGGGCGAGTGCTCTGCCAGGCAGTGTGACAGTCAATTTTCATACCTTAATCTCAATGAATCCTCACTTTATCCCTACAAGGCAGGCCGCATTAGTCTCCCCAGTTTTATAGATGAGGAGGCTGAGGCTTAGCAAGTGACTGTTCTGCGGCCGAGGCTGCAGTCAATGCGGGGCCTTGAATGCAGATCTCACCTTGAAGCCGAGCTCTGTACATTGGTGCAGTGGCGTTTTGACAGGTCTGCACGCTGGCAAGTCCCTCACAGCATGAGCCCTTCCAGAGCCAACAGTGTGGGCCACCGCCCAGAGGACCACCTGGGGAGGAGGAGGATCAGAGAGGGGGCTTAGCTCCCTGGGGGAGCACAGATGGGGAGTCTCTGGTTTAGAGAGCTCTGAAGGGCTTGGGGTCTCTTACAGCCCCAGGGTTTATCTTATCTTTGGCTAGCAGATGTTGGGTGCACTTTTGTGGGGTGTGCAAAGCAAGCAGGCTCTAACTGGCTGGAAATCTGTTCTGTGAGCTACATGTAAACCAGTTGGATGGATGAATATTTGAGTTTGGCACCTGTGGGCTTTTGTGAAGATGTAAACAGCACAGGGCCAGGATACCAGCCCCGGCTTTGGCTCATTTATGGGATAGGCGCTGTGGCCAGGGCTTTGATGGCTGGTGCAGGTCAGCAGTGGAAACCCCTCAGTAATTGGTGTCGCCCAGCAAAATGGGGTTCTTGATGTTCTGACATTTTGAATAGAGCCACGGATGTTTCAGGAAAGCCCTCGCTTCCTTTGGCGATGTCCATAAGAACCACCTAACTTGTGGGCACGGTGAATCGGACTTTGGTTTAGAAGCCAAATCCCATTCCGAAGCACCACGGGTAGATACCGCTTTTCCTAGGACAGGAATGCAGTGAAGTAACTGACCGTTCACAGTGGGCTGAGCTCAGGGGTCCATGAACAGCCTTCCAGTATAAATGCTGTACTCTTTTGTCTCAGTAATGCATCTAGGGGACAAGGAGGGTCTCACCCATTTTCCAAAGGAGGAAACAGTGACAAGGCCATCCTGTCATCTTCACGGGGTTTCCACAGAGCCCTTCCCATGTGCCCGTTAGGAAAGCAGAGGTGCCATTGAAAGCAGATTGGATGTAAAAGTCTCCCAGGGACATTTCTCCCTCTGTGGTATGGTTGTGCCCATTTGGCACAGGTGGAGGCTGAGGCCTGGAGAGGGTTGTTTTTTACCTGTCCTAAATCCCAGCGAGGGAGCTGGCTTCCAGCCGAGGTGTCCGGTTTCTCAGGCTCCTGGCTCAGAACACTTCCTGCTATAGCGNAACTGAGGTGCTGTCATCAGAAGGGGGAAGGATACCAAGCAGCAGAAACACCGCCTGTCTGCCGGGGAGGGAGGGCGTCTGGAAACCACGTGAGCAGCAGTCAGGAGTGGGCCAGTAGGTGCCACCTTGTCAGGGTGGCTTGGTGAGACTGGGGCAGCGGGCAATGCCTTGAAAGCTGAGCCCCGTCTTCGGTCGCCCTGGCCCAGGAGTTCTGGGTTGAAGACTTGGTTTTTAGGACGTGTGAGGAGGTCCTCTGACTCGCTGCTGTCCCTGGTGCAGGTCAAGAACGAGGTGGAAAGGCTCCCCAGGCAGCAGCGGAAGGAGAGCATGAAGCAGAAGATGGAGGAGCACACGCAGAAAAAGCAGCTTCTTGTGAGTCCTCGGCCCTCACTCGGAGTAGGGGGGCTGGGCAGTGAGGCCCAGGTTGGAGACCTGGGTTATTTCGCTGTTTATTTCGCACGCGCCTGTCTGTCTGTGCCCTGCCCCTCGAGTGCCCATCTCTTATTCTGAATACCTAAATCCAGCCCGTCCTTCTTGTCATCCCTGCTGTCGCCTCTCCCATGCAGTCTTCCCTCACATTGCTCCTCCCAAAGCCTTGAGCGCCTCCTGCCTTGTTTTAGGGTTGTCTGTACGTCACATCTCCTTGACCAACCCGGTACATCCATCCACTCGGCATCTTGGGGCGACGCAAACCCATGATTTCCTAGACCTGGTGCTTGCTGTGGTTGGAGGGGGCACCATCGTCCATCCTGTTGTCAGGCCTGATGCCTCCTTTCCTTCTAGTCCTTCACTACCCCCTCAAGCATGTTTTTGTTATCTCCAAACTCTGCGGATCCATCCACTTGTCCACATCTCTGTGAACCCCTAGCCTCTGTCATCTGTTGCCTGAACCGCTGCATAGCCTCCCAGTCTCCCTGTGTCCTCTCTTGGTCCCCTGC